CCTACTATTGCTCTTTCAAGCCTAGCCGGATACCTCAAATCAACCTCGGATTTGAGTTCAACTTGGTTAGTAAGTTTCACGATATTCCCCTACTATTGTAGGAGTCACGTTACACCTTGCAATTTCTAAAGGGAGAGCTCGGGTATAGAGCTTTTTTAAGTACGAAATGAAATTAAATACAAAGTAAATAAAAAGCGCAATCAATATAATAAACACCCAAAAAGAAAGTAAAAAAAGCTTATCCATTTAAGTATGTAGCTCGACTCTCAACATGTCCCCAGCGGAGTCGCCAACTGTCGCAACCGTCCCTACAGGGTCCATTGTCGTCGCGTCGGCATTTTTGGGAGTCGCCATCGATCTTACTTGGAGTGGATCGAACACTCTTCAAATCGGCTCTAACCTTAGGGTCAGAACCGGGGTTTGGTCTGCAATTAAGAGTTCTGGGTACGGGAGTACGGTTCTGTGTGGGGAAGTGTATTCACACCCCACAACGTCCCAAATGGGTATTACTTAAGTCGATAAGTTTTTAAATGTTGGGTGTATTATTATTTGCGGCCTATTTCGTATTAAATTATAAGATTCAAATAATTAGGTATTTATTTTTACGATTTGATCATACGTCTATTGACGCAAAATCTCATAAGTAAGAAAATATTTTTGATTAGTTGGACTCAAACCTATTGGTTTCCTACGTACCCGACTTAATCGGGATCAAAGCCCACGTAGTTCGTTATAACTTTGATAGTTTTAATCTTAACTTTTATCACGTTCCTGAACGTTATTCATGCATTATAATTTTGTTAATAGAATTATAATTAGATTATTATGATGTTCCTAAAATGAAAGCAAGAATTTTAATTATTAAGAAGAAATTCGATGTATCGGACAAGAAGCAAAACTAACTTAATTCGCATTTCACATTTTGTATCAAGGGCTTTAAACAAATAAATTTTAACGGGATGGCTAATGTTAAGCGTGTTGGACCAATAGCCCAACTGGTTAACTCTCTAATTCGGCACTTGATTTCTCGTGACGAGGGTTCGAAACCTAGTCACCCCATTTTTGAACCGTTGTTTTAAATTTAAGACGGGGGAGGGGTATTTTCGTAAGTTCTCAAAAACGCAGTGGTAGGGCTGAGTAATTAGCGATAAACCCTAGGGCATTCTAGTCCTTTTAAAACGCCTACTATAAAATGTCTCTAAAAAAAACCTAAACCTAAATCGGCTATAGCAACCGCCTCTCTCTCGATCCGTTGCGTCTCTCTCTTCTACCAGAACCCAAAGAATGCCAACTTCTTCTCTCTCTCGCCTCTCTCTCTTGTTTTTTACTTTTTTCCTTCTCGATTCTTCTCCTCCAGAGAAAATCAAAAACCCTAGTCAGACTAAGGAGGGCCGTCGTTGGCCCTCACTCTCTCCTCTCTCACTCACGCTTCTCTCTTCTTCTGCTCACCTTCCTCTCCAGACGAACGCCAAAAAGAACAGCCCTTCACCCTTCCTCAATGACTCCGCCGCCACCTTATTCTTCCTCTCCTCATCTCCAACCACCCAAAAGGACTCTCTCTCGCTCTCGTCTATGCTAGCCAAGGAGACTGTTCGAGTCGAATTAAATCAACCGAGACTATCACGATTCTAGGTAAAATCGAGACATGCATGGTGTTGTTTTTTATTTTTTCTGATTTTTATTTCGGATTCTACTAATTTTCTGGATTTTGGTATTGCATGTTGAGTTGGGTTTTCTGGGGGTCGTCTGATTTGGCCACGATGGAGGGGAGAAAGAGGAGACGCTCGGCGGCTTAGATCCCCGGCGTCAAAGCTCCGTCGATGGTGATTGACGGTGACAGGTGAGTTTTCTTGTCTTGGAAATTTTTATTTTTGGTTTATTAACCCTTTAATCGACTCTGACTTCTATTTTTGTTTTGAAGCAGGTCTTAAGACGAAATTGATTAGGTGAGGTTCCCTAAATTTGATTGGTGATTATTTTGTGAATCTGGAATAGATGCACAGATCTGAATTTTTGAAAATATGTCTGTGTGGTGTGACGATTTTGGATATGGAACATTTGTGTTAATATGCTTTAAATTTGGAAATTTGCGATTTATTTGCGGATTGGGCAGTTTTGATTGTTTGGTATTAGGGTCTGGCGTTTGTGGGTGACGCGAGTATGGATTTATGACTTTGAGATTTGGGGAAAATGTTTGTGTTCATCTGCATTTGGTGCTTGTTTAGTGGGATTTTGTGGTGATTTTGTTTTACTTTATACGGATGATGATGATATTTTTACCAATAGCAAAAGATAGGTAGTAAATAGCATAGTAGAGATGGAATGGGAAGATCAATGAGTAGATTTAGCAAAATAGTATGTATATCAGAGACTTAACTCAAGTAGTTAGCTGTTGTTGTTGGTTAATATATTGATAGTGGTAAAAATAAGTAAGTAATGGACCGAAAATAAAACTGAAACTGAAGAGCTGATAAAGTAAAATAGCTGAGATTTCTCTTTTAAATAAGTTTGGTCAGTGTATAGTTAAAAAAAAGGCTTGTATTAATTACATGAATATGATATATATATATATATATATGGTGACTACTTCGGTGCACTCACTTTTTTGGGTGCACTCAGTGCACCTAACTCAAAAAGCGTCCATAAGACATCAAATTTTGAACTTTTAGTACTCTCAATATAATATGATGATATGACATAGAATCATAACAAATCAATCCATTACCCTAATCCCTTAACCTTCAATTTTGAATCCCAACCCAAAATCCCAAATCGTAAACCTAAACCCTAACCCTAAATCCCTAAATCCTAAATCCTTTGAATTAAAGTAAAATTTGAATGAATTTTTTTCAAATTCATGTGCTTCTTGTTCATAATATCATAAGCAACAATTGATACTGTTTTGACATGAATCGCATGGTCAGAATGACGATTATGAGGCGGGTGCATTGAGTGCACCCGAAAAAGTGGGTGCACCGAATACGCCACCATATATATATATATATAGAGAGAGAGAGAGAGTTGGCTTGGCAAAAGGATAAGATTAGTAGAGAAGAGAATAAAATGGCAGTAAACCAATAATATATCATTAGAATTGGAATGTGAACCTGGGTTTTGCTCAATACAAACCTCGTTGGGCTTCTGTTGGCCTAGATGCCTTTTGCTTTTATTTGACATAAAAATCATTAATTTGTTTGGGGTTCCTTCGGGCTTCATATCTGGGCTCGCTTTGGGCTTGATCCTGGGCTCTGTTGGACCTTGATGAAAACCTGTCAACCTTTATGTCTGGGCTCGTTTTGGGCTTGGATTGTGGGCTATGATATTCTGGGTTTTTCTTTGATGTTGGCCAGAACTGACTTGGCTCCTTTATTGTTGTTTGGCAGGTCCCGTTGCTGGCTTCAAAAAGGGAGGGAAGAAACTTACATTTGAATTTGATTATGATTTTTATGTAATAATTGTGATATAATTTTCTGATTGTAATTGTGATTTAGTAATAATTTTAATAAAAACATGCTTCTTCTTTATTATTAATTTTGTTTTGCAAAAAGTTGAGCTTGGAAGCCAATCGATCCTATTAGATCCACTGGAATGAATTCAAATAAATTAAACAATCGTCGATATTTAGACTCGCAAATTGCAATCTAAATATCTTACGACATTTCAATATTAAATTAAAATTTTTTAATTGAGTAATAGACCCGAACAAAATGGGGTGTCTACACTTCCCACAACCCTCATGCATTAAGAATTTCAACTACCCTCTTCCCATTTTGGTTATTATTTTCATTATTAATTATCGGGATATTCTTTTGGTTATTGTTTCGGTTTAGGATATTTTATCGTTTCGTAATCGGTTTAGGATTTGTTTCCTTGTTGGAGAAGGGAAGGGTTTGTAGGCGTAGCCTATAAATATGTACTAGATTTTACGTTTTATGCATCAGAAAATAATAAACCAGTTCCTTCAATTTTTCTTAGTTCTCGCTTATAAATCCCGACGCGTGAAACGTTCACGCGTCAATTGGTATCAGAGCCTGTTTCGACGAAACCGAGCTCTTACCAGCTCCTAGGGCAGACATCGTCAACGTTCGACCACCAACGTTGGGAAGAGGTCCCGTGAGCAACCCCGACACCGCCAATACTGGTGAAAGTCGCTATGCCTGATCGATATCAGTTTATACGCGATATGCAAGAAGAGCAAGAGCTTCTTGATCTTTTGGAGGAAAAAGAATGGTATGACAATTTCTGTCATCGTCATTCTTCGGCTCGATGCCGGTTTTTACCATCGCAGGTCGCAGCCTCACTATCCTTCATCTTATGTGACCACCGCTGCCCAAGAACGACGCGCCGAACTCCTCGACCGACGGAGGGAGGAATGTCGTCGATAGCAACCGTAGGAGACGGGGACGACCGCCCGACTCTTACCATGAACCGCCTGACAGAGAAAGGAAGCGGTATCTGCCAGCTGGCTACAATCCGTGGAGCTGGAGAGACCCATGGGAGTGGAGAGATCCTATCGACAACCACGGCCTAGAAGCTCGATTGGCTAAAAGGGATTCGCTATGTGCTCGGAACCAATGCCCATCTCCACGTGGTGCAGGGTATCGAAGCCAATCTCCAAATCAACAACTCTCGACGAGTTATGCAACTAGGGGACTCGCGTTCGACGCGGGGACGAAGCTAGCTGGCACTGCAATTACCAACCAATTCACTAGTGCGCCGACGATCAATTATGATGGTGCGGCTAATTACCAGGACAGTTGTTATGCCAAGAGTGACGCGGAAGAGATGGAACGACAACAGGAAGAGCTCTCCAATGAGGAATTCCGCGAGAAAAATTGCTACAAGAGATAAGAAATATCCGCCAGAGCTTCCTCGCTACCCAGGAGGATGCCCAGGGTGATCGCACATCAACAACGACAACAATCACCGCATTAACGATCCGGACCACCACCGAAGTCGAGGAGCTAACCATAGCTCTATCTTCATCGTGTAGGTCGCCGATGACTGCCACAGTCCAAGAAGAGATGATTCCCACAACAACTACGCCACCGTTGACGGATTTGCAGGATGTTGATCATGTCGTTGCGGTCGTGGTCGATGTCACTAAGGTACGGGAGAAGGGCATTACTGCTCCTGTTTCGCCAAGCCGCGTAACTAAGCAACCTTGTGAAGAGGAGTCGGCCATTCCCCTCTATGCTATGACATGTGTTGAACTAGGGAAGCAACAGCCTCCCATTACCATCGAGCGTGCAAAGTCCCATTCCTCTATCATCGATGACACGATTGGAGGAACCCATCCTGATGTTGGTAAGCACTCCAACTCATCTGCTTGTTATTTGGCCAATTGGAAATTTCGAAAGATGCCGGGGAAGGATGGAGACAGCTGTCGCGGCGTTGCGAGAAGCCAAGGTCCGGTTCGCAGTTGTCTTGGGCCGAGTATGGGAGGACTAATTGGCGGGCTGTTATACGGAGTTCAGCTGGTGGGTTTGACATCGCATGTGGAGAGGATGGAGCAAGAGGATGGAGGTGTTCGTGGCAGTAGTGGACACGACATCACAATTTGATCTCCTTCTTTGGTGAGATGCGTTTTGGGTTCAACAAGGAAGTTTGAAAACAAATCCACAGGTTTCGAGTCCGGGATGGTGGATCGCGGGGATAGTAAAGACTTGTTTGCTAATCCCTTTGAAGACAAGAACATGGGTACGTGTGGACTTGGTTTGCATAAGGAGAGCAAAGTTTGTGTGGGCTTGTCCTTTCCTCATGCGTATGTACGTGGTATGGGAGGAGGAATGCATGAAAGGGTGAATGGCATACGAGGGAACGGCAACGAGTTGCCCTGGAAGGTTCGATCGAGCTGCAACGGTTTGGAGTTTCAGTTTGCTGGAGCTACATGCAATGCGGCAAGGAACCAGTTAATTAATGAGCTCAAGCTCAATTGGAAGTATCGCAAGCGTCGTCAGCATTGTCTAGTGTTCAACGTTGTCTACCACAAGCTACGAGGAAGCTTCTTCCTCATTGAACCGGGTGGAGACATCGCTCGAACTTCGGGGACGAAGTTCTTCGAAGGGGGGAGGATTGATGCATTAAGAATTTCGACTACCCTCTTCCCATTTTGGTTATTATTTTCATTATTAATTATCGGGATATTCTTTTGGTTATTGTTTCGGTTTAGGATATTTTATCGTTTCGTAATCGGTTTAGGATTTGTTTCCTTGTTCGAGAAGGGAAGGGTTTGTAGGCGTAGCCTAAACATATGTACTAGGTTTTACGTTTTATGCATCAGAAAATAATAAATCAGTTCTTTCAGTTTTTCTTAGTTCTCGCTTACGAAATCCCGACGTGTGAAACGTTCACGCGTCAATTGGTATCAGAGCCTAGTTCGACGAAACCGAGCTCTTACCAGCTCCCAGGGCAGATATCGTCAACGTTCGACCACCAACGTTGGGAAGAGGTCCCGTGAGCAACCCCGACACTGCCAATACTGCTAAAAGTCGTTATGCCTGATCGATATCAGTTTATACGCGACATGCAAGAAGAGCAAGAGCTTCTTGATCTTCTGGAGGAAGAAGAATGGTATGACAATTTCTGTCATCGTCATTCTTCGGCTCGCTGCCGGTTTTTACCATCGCAGCCCCACTATCCTTCATCTTATGCGACCACCGCCGCCAAGCACGGCACGCCGAACTCCTCGACCGACGGAGGGAGGAATGCCGTCGATAGCAACCGTAGGAGATGGGGACGACCACCCGACTCTTACCATGAACCCCCTGACAGAGAAAGGAAGCGGTATCCGCCAGCTGGCTACAATCCGTGGAGCTGGAGAGACCCGTGGGAGTGGAGAGAGATCTTATCGACAACCACGGCCTAGAAGCTCGATTGGCTAGAAGGGATTCGCTACGTGCTCAGAACCAATGCCTATCTCCACGTTCTGCAGGGTATCGAAGCCAATCTCCAAATCAACAACTCTCGGCGAGTTATGCAACTAGGGGACTCGCGTCCGACGCGGGGACGAAGCTAGCTTGCACTGCAATTACCAACCAATTCACTGGTGCGCCGACGATCAATTATGATGGTGCGGCTAATTACCAGGACAGTTGTTATGCCAAGAGTGACGCGGAAGAGATGGAACGGCAATGGGAAGAGCTCTCCAATGAGGAATTCTGCGAGAAATTGCTACAAGAGATAAGAAATATCCGCCAAATCTTATAATTGTGTCGAGTATTTGTCCCATGCCCTTTGGGCTTGCCTTGGAAAAAAAAAAATAATAGACCAGTTCTTTCAATTTTTCTTAGTTCTCGCTTACGAAATCCCGACGCGTGAAACGTTCACGCGTCAAACCCTCTTCTCTTCTCATCTCTCTTTCCATGGAAGATGCAGTGCAGATCCAAAATCCCTCGTACCTAGGGATGGCAATCAAACCCATGGCCGCGGGTATCCGACCGCCCCCGACCCAGTCAACGCGGGTAATCCCCGCTTTGACCGAGTATGGGGCGGGTATGGGTAAAACCCGCAAAAAGTTTGATGGGTATGGGGCGGGTATAGTTTTAGCCTCCCCCGCCCCATACCCATACCCATATCCGCCCCACTAAGAGAATTTCTTCACATATACAAAAATATGTAGATCAAATTGTAATCTATCAATGATGATGAGGATAACTCGAGGAAATAAATAGTAGAAATGCAATTGAGTGACCACCTTAATCAAAACCTAATTAATTTCCCTCAATTCTCCTTTCACTCTTTCACTTTCCCCCTTGTCAACAAGATTATGTTAGTTAATTATTTCTTAGTAGATGCATTAGAGTTAGAACATACTAATTTGAAAAATATTATACTCTATATTATGTATTAACGAATGTTTTAGAATCATATTCTTTGAACCGTATTAAGAAAATGATCGTGTTTAGTTGAATTTGTGATATAATAGGTACGTTTAGAGTTGTAGTTAACACTTTTCTTGTAAATTTTAGGATAATAATGTTGGATGTCCGGGTACAGATATTACCCATGGGTACCCGAAACCCACGAGTATGGGGATGGGTTTGCCAAATATTCCCCCGCATGGGTATGGGACGGGTATGAGTTTGGATATTTGAAGATGGGGATGGGGATGGTTTAGACAAACCCGCCCCATTGCCATCCCTACTCGTACCCTGTCCCTGCCTGCCCAACTAGCCTTTACCGCCGTCCGATCTTTCCCCAATCCAACGCACGAAGCCCCTCCACGATTCTCCCTTCCCAATCCTTCGATCCAACTACCTTCTCATGGCTCACAATCCTCCACGAACCTACCCTACTACCCGTCCGATGAACCAGAGATCCGACGGCCGAAACAACCTCTCCCGTCCCTGCACATTTCTTTTCCACTCTGTTTCATTTCTGGGTTGGGTCTGCGTACCTGTGACATTAATATCCCGCTTCTTTTTTCCAATCCACCTCCTTTTCCCCAATTGCCCCATAAACTTCATTAGCTCCCGCCTCCCTTTTCCGTGTTTTACTCGTTTTCTAGCTTCGGTACAAGACGACGCCGATACAAAATGCAAGAACAAGCCACCAGTTCAGCTGCAGCCAATTCTCTGCCTTCAAGCAGCGAGAGATCTTCCAGCTCCGCGCTTCAGCTCGAGGTCAAGGAAGGTCTGATCTCTGTCCTTATCCCTTTCCAAAACTCTAAAAAAGATTTTTAAAAAAAAGTCTAGGATTTTCCCCCTTATGGAGTGAAGTTCCGGGATTCCCCCATGGGAATCGTGCAATGTGCGATTTGGAATGATGGGTTGTCTTGGGTTTTGCGTTTTGGGTAGGTATGGAGAGTGACGAGGAGATCAGGAGAGTGCCGGAGTTCGGTGGGGAGCCGGCGGCGACGTCAGGTTCGGGTCGGAGCGCGGCGGTGGTTTCAGGGATGGAGCGGGCTCATCAGGGTCCCGGAGAAGGGACGAGGAAGCGAGGGAGAAGCCCTGCGGATAAAGAGAACAAGCGACTCAAACGGTGAAATTCGTTGACTTGATTTGTGGGGCTTTGACATAACGGACGGGTCTTATCGGAAAATGGATAATGCTGATGATGACCATTTCTTCTCCGGTGAAATTTTGTTTACAGGTTGTTGAGGAACAGAGTTTCGGCGCAGCAAGCCAGGGAGAGGAAGAAAGCCTATCTTAGCGAGCTGGAGACGAGGGTTAAGGACCTGGAGAAGAAGAACTCGGAGCTCGATGAGCGCCTCTCCACTTTGCAGAACGAGAATCAGATGCTCAGACATGTAAGTTGCCTTCTACCCTCTGCATCTCTTTCTCTCTTCTGTTAACCGTTCTGGAAATCAAACTGGAGGGGCTTGGTTTGGTTGGTACCAGTTTTAACCGATTTACATATGCTGGTCTGGTCATTGATACAAAATCCGGTGAACATATTTTTACTCCATATCCATCAATCCAATCACAGTGTCAACGAGCTTCATCGTTACTGTTCATTACAAAATGAAGTAATCATCTATCAGAGTTGGATTCTTTTGGATTATTAAGCTTACTTAATGAACAATATGGTGGATTCTTTTAGCTTGAGAACAAAGATGTGTGGAGTATGTAATGTAAGCAAAAGCGCATTAGTTCTTGTCAATTCCAGAATGGGACCAGGATTAGTTGATCGTCTTTTCTATTTTAAAGTGCTAACCCCACATCTAGTACTCATTGCATTGATCAATGGAAAACAAGTATTCACCAGCTAGTTGGGTTGATGAAAGAATTCATTTGAGTATTCACTTTCAATTGAGGTCTGAGGATGATGGTTGTAGGGTTTTGAGGCCAATAAGATTATCGTGTCTTGTGTCTTGTTGCAGATACTGAAAAACACAACGGCAAGCAGGAGAGGAGGTAACAGTGCTGCAGATTGATCGGCGCCATGAGTTGAGAATCTGTAATCCATTTGATATATGAAGAACAAGGATTTGATTTGCATGGAGAAGAGGAATGGTAAGGAAGCACATAAGCATCTGTTTTCTGATTCTAATTATGTGTATGTAGAGGTATTAACTAAGAAGGTAGGAGTGGCTTCGTGAAAGCGAGGAAGAGAAAGAACGAGTTAGAGCTGACGCGGCCAGAATGGGTGCTCACAGGGTTGAGCTAGCGAGCAGTTGGGTTTAGACATTGTTGGTGAGGCAGCATTGCTTGCAATGTATTGAGGTGCATCATTTGCAGCAAGCCCATGTGCTCATATGCGTATGCAAATGCAACTGTGGCCATTCTTGCTGTGCCAACCCCAGATAAATGAAGAGAGTAGTAGAATGATCACGAGGTGGTTCGTGTTCGACAGAGATTGTGTTAACTCATTCCCCCATATGGGATTGTGGTGTTGCTGAAAATGACATTGGTCGTTTGGCTCTCTTTTTCTTTTGATTGTCTCTGTATTTCCCAGCCCTCTATCTATGTAGGAGAATTCTGGATTCTGAAATGAGATTCTCGCACAACTTTGCATTACCAATTGATATGTTCATTGCTCTAAAGAGGAGGGTAGATCAATCTGTCATCACTTCAGAGCGTTTGATCAATAACAGTGCCCTGTGTGGGGGTGGATTATGCTGGTTAAAATACCGGTTTTGGGGAAAAAATCCCAAAGTACACATGTTCTTAAAAAAAATCCCAAAATACATAAGTTATAAAAATTTTTCCCAAAATACACATGTTTGGCATTCACCGTTTTTGACAAACGCAGTGAATATAATCACCGTGTTTGACAAAAGCGGTGAATAATTCACCGTTTAAAAAAAAACGGTGACGCATTCACTGTCTTCATCTAAAACGGTGAAGAACCAGCGAGGCAATCACCGTTTTAGACGGAAACCCTGTGAGCACCAAGCAATGCACTTCAATATGGTTTTGATTAATTTTACTGTCTTTAAACTAATAGTTACACTTGTTGTAAATTGTAGATATGGGTAAATTCAAGAAGTTTCGGCTTATTATTCGGTGGAATGGAAGGGTGACAAACTCTGACATAGGGATTGATTATGAGAACGATGAATCCACTATGCTGAAAATTGAGTCGCGATTCAATTTTCAAGAACTCCGTGATATTTGTGCAGACAGGGTTTGTACGAGCGGACAGACGAGACAGGTGCCCACTCGTACTCAAATGGTTCAGGGAGCTCGGTTTCTTGACTTGTACGCACCTCTTCGAAAGTAGGGGGAGGCCTGTGTTTGCTCCTTCGTGGGGACTCAACCGGGGGCACAATGGGCTCACCATCACAGAATGATGGGTGTGCCGGAGCAGGAATGAGAGGATAGGCCACGGCATCCCTCCTTTGTTCTCGAGTACAACTCAAGAGGTTGTTCAAAGCCTTCGCAGCCAAGAAGTTTTCGGCTCATCCATGCTTGGAGCACTATCGAGGGTGTGTTTGGCGTGTTCCAAACCATCAACCTAAGCAATCCACATAATAAAACAAAATTAATTAAACCTCAAAACAAAATAATTAGAGTCACGCGGAGATTAGGATGACTTACCAACGAACCCATCACATCACCTGGCTTTGACACCCATCGATTGGTGAACTTCCGATACTACTGCATGTACCCATCGTGGTAGCCCATCGGTCTCGCCTCCGGTATCCCTTGGACCACCCATGTCCTTCTATTCTCCCATATGTTGATGTAGTACTGATGCTTTAGGATCCAATTCTTTGAGGCGTGTCGGAGGTCGATGGCATGTAGCTCTCTGAAACCCTGAGGCGGGGTTTGTGGAATTGGTTGCTCCATTCGATATTGCCTCAAGGATCGATCGGGTAGGTGCCACTCCACGATGTGCCAACAGATCAATGGCACCTTGCACAACCACGTCTCGTGATCCAGAGGGTTTCTAAGATGATGCAGTTCGACCACTTCACGTGGATATGGATCCCAAGTAACCTATATTCATTCAAATAATGCAATTAGCGACCATTTAACTTGAAAAATTGAAACTTGTTAAAATATGATAAAGCATGATTATCTGATTCCACCAAGGCTTATCTAACTCAGAACGATAAAACAATAACGAATGCTCAGGTTGATGGTCATTCGTATTTGCTCCTATCCACTCTGTCAAAGCCGAGCCGGAGTACGACCCGGTAACGTGAACGGCTCGGTCATTAGTGGTCCAGCCGGCATTAGACCGTTTAAAAACCGTTTGAGAACCGGTACATTATAAACAATATAATATCATAGTAGAACACACATAAAGTAATAATTCAATGATTTAATGAGTAAAAATGATAATTACAGGTACCATTTAATAATTCTACACAACATATATATACGGCAACTAAAAAAAACCCTAACCTAATCCTAAGCGCCAGCGCCGCTTCCCCACCCATCACTCTCCTTCCTTCCGCTTCCCCATCCCCCCTCCCTCTCTCCTTCCTCCTCTCCCACCGCCTCACCTATTTTCATTTTTCAGCCACTATAGCCTTCTGCAATTCCTCAAAAATCCATCACCACATTCAATTCTTCCTCATCCTTTCTTAACCCGTAAATGCTCTTCCTCGTCCCAATCCGCGAAATGGCTCGGATTCAATCCAAGCCTCTGGTGAGACAGTGCAGCTTAGAGTGGAGCTGCTTGCGACGGTGCCGACGGGATGGAAGCGCCGGGAGCGGGGAGCTGCTTGCTACAACAAGGACTGGCGATGGCGACGGCGACTGGGGATGGCGATGTCGTCGGGAAGCGCCGATGTCGGGACAAGAGGTGTTGACGGCCGATTCCACGATTGGCCTTTTCTATTTTTTTTAAGGGTAAACCAAACGGCCGAACCGCGCGACCGGCTTGAGCGGCTCGAGCGGTTAACCGCTTCGGCCGCTCGCCGGCCGCTGTATAAAACCGTGGCGGTTAAATAGCTGATCCGAGCCGGTTTTATGGTCGGGTGGCGGCTTTGGCGGTCCGGCCGGCCGGCTCGGTTCGGCTTTGACAGCACTGTAAAAGCATGGAATAAATTGAAATTAGGCTAAGTACGGATTAAATTCAATTTAAATCTAGCTAAGCATGGTATAAATTAGCGACCATTAGGCTAAGTACGGATTAAATTCAATTTAAATCTAGCTAAGCATGGTATAATTTTAAATTAGGCTAAGTACGGAATAAATTCAATTGAAATCTAGCTAATCATGGAATAATTTTAAATTAAGCTAAGTACGGAATAAATTCAATTGAAATCTAGCTAATCATGGAATAATTTTAAATTAAGCTAAGTACGGAATAAACTTACTTGACACCGTAAGGGGGATATTGCAGAAAGTTTAGCTCATCATCGGCTCTCCGTTATGGACGTGGGTCTTGAGGTGCGAACATTGGAAGATGCTCCCATACCCACAGCTGTAGGATGAACATCGCAGCACCAGCTTGTTTTGCTCCCACCTTCGAGCAAGTGCACAGCTGCCGGTATATGCCAGCTAACACGGCCGATCCCCAGTTCTTTTCCCCGATTGCGTCCCAGTCACCAATGAGCAATGGCAACCATATGCCTTGAATCCACCGGTTTGACTTGTCGGGGAACACAAATCCACCCACCAGACCAATGAGGTAGATGCGTGCATAGCGCTCCACTTGATCTTCCGGAGTCTCGTCATTGATTTGCACCTCATTCTGGATGTGAGCTACCAGCCACGGGACCGACACTTGTCCCGCATTCAACGGTGGATGGCCCCGTCCTTGAATTGGTGTGGTGGTCGGCATGTCGAATCCCAACTCAGCAAGAATGAGCGATCCCCAACCTCCTTCGGGTTTGGTAGTGGGCCCAAGGATGGCATCTCCAGTAATCGGCAGGCCGGTGAGGATCGCCACATCTTTGAGGGTGATCGTCATTTCCACCTCCGGAAGGTGGAACGTATGGGTTTCGGGACGCCATCGCTCCGCCATTGCCGTAAGCAGATCGTTGTCGATTTCGATCCGCATGAAGTGGCGCAACATACCCAACCTGGTCCTCTCTATATAGGGCGCCAACCGTGGATGCCAAGGGGGCAAGTTTGTGGTCCCTTTATGAACGAAGGGAATAAGTGATTCCTTCAAAAAAATAGGAAAAACATCAATTTGTTAGTTTAAATAAAGCAAAATAAAACTTTAGAAAATAATAAAATAAAGCAAATAAATCATAAAATTACCGGATTGTTATCCCAAATAGCACGGGAGTGATGAGCTTCTTGATCGGTTAAGAGTCTCATATCTCTTGGCCCACAATGGATATACAATCGAGGATCGTATATCTCGGCACCCATCTATAAAAAAAGTAATCAAATCAGAGATTGTTTTGATAAAAAAAATCACAAAATCAAATTGTTACGATTAAAAATAAGAACACAAAAAAAAAAAAAAAACCTACACGAAGAGCCTCTTCGTCCATTTTTTGGCAGAAGCCGGACAGAGGTTCGACGGGTTCAGGTTTGTAAGGGACGGGACCTTAGCAGGACGGGGGCTTTAGGGTCAAACTCTAGTAATTCTTTCTGATGTGGAAGATCGGATTTATCCGCAACCACAGAGCATACTTAGAACGAGACTAGAGCGGATAAATTGAGGGAGAAAGAAGTGAAATGGTTGTGGTGTGAGTTGTAAGTGGTGGGGGAAGGGTCTATTTATAGTTGGGGGAAGGGATCTGCCGAATGAAACTAGGGAGCATACACCGCGTCAGTCAGAAAACGGTGAAGTGACCGCATTTCTCGAGGACGGTGAATGGGCGCGGATCGAGTGACGTGGCTTAGCGTGAGGCGTCGGATCTGGGAAGAAAACCACGATCCGCGCCTCACCGCATCCGACGACGACGGTGAACACGGCAGCGACACGGATCGCTGACGCAAACAAACACGGGGTATTCACCATGTTTGTTTAACGACTAATATTACTCCATCTCATAACTAACGTAACATAAATTCAACTAACTAACAACAACATAAATTCAAAAATTAAGTACTACAATTGCTACGATAAGTAATTCATAATAACATAACATTATAACTACTAAAAAGCATATTGAACGACTAATATTACTCCATCTCATAACTAACGTAACATAAATTCAACTAACTAACAACAACATAAATTCAAAAATTAAGTAGTACAATTGCTACGATAAGTAATTCATAATAACATAACAATATAACTACTAAAAACATCATTACGCTATAATACGAAAATTAAATCATACTATAACTACTAAAAACCCATCATTAACCTATAATACGGAAAATAAATCATACCGAAAATTCCCTGACTGTGTATTATGCTCGGTTTTGGTTGCTGAAATTTGAAGAGGGAGGAGTGGTTGTGTTTCTGTAAGTGCTGGTGGGCTGGTATTTATACTAAAATCTGCCTAATGTTCACCGTTTTGGTCAAACACGGTGAAGACCATCACCGCGTTTGTCTCAAACGGTGAACATTAGGTAGCTCATACCTAATTTTCACCTAACAGGGGTTGAAAACGTGCCTAATACTCACCGTTTTAACCTAGAACGGTGAAGGTATTCACCGTTTTAGTGTAAGGCGGTGATTGATTCACCGTTTTAGGCTTAAACAGTGAATTATTCACCGTTCTTGTAAAACGCGGTGATTGCCTTCACTGCGTTTGTCAAAAACGGTGAATACCAAATATGTGTAGTTTTGGAAATTTTTTTATAACTTATGTATTTTGGAAATTTTTTTTAAGAACATGTGTACTTTGGGATTTTTTCCCCGGTTTTGGCACCAAATGGTAAAAGAGCAGGCCCAATAATGAGCTTCCAGAGCAAAGACAAACCCTTAGCAGGCCTGATAGTTTGTAAGCTGGGCGGGCCGATGCAAAATTCAATCTGTATGGGGCCCGAGGTTGAGGGTACTCGCAAACAAAACCGACATCTTCCAGAAAATCCCCAAAACCGACAAACCCTTAGCAGGCCTGATAGTTTGTAAGCTGGAGATGGAATTAGAGAGAGAGAGAGAGAGTGTGTGTGAGTTTGGGGGCGGTCTCCTCATCAGTACGAAAGGGTTTTACTTGTTTGTTGCTTTTCTACACACTTCTCCTGAGCTTGTCACAGGGTTTTCAATTTAGGGTTCGTGGGCGTTTGGGGGGCAGAAATTTGCAGCAGAGTTGTCAGAGGTCCAGCAATGGAGGTGATAACGGAAGGAGTCAATAACTTAACCGTCGCCGATTCAGCTGCTCCAGGATACCAGAGGAACAGAATCCAAGTTTCCAACACCAAGAAGCCTCTCTTTTTCTACGTCAATCTCGCCAAGGTTTCTCCTCTCTCTCCCCCTCTGTTTTCAATTCTCTTAGTTCCAACTTTGAACTAGTGGCTCAGCTGTGGGGGTTAGGAGGGTTTTGCTTTCTAGCTGGGTTGTAACAACTTTCGAGGGAAAAGTAACAACTTTCCGCTTTGTAAATTTTGCTGTTAATTATTGATTCCCTGACGGCCTGCCCTTGTATGGTGATACTGTGAATTGGTTAAGTTTATTGGCTTCACGGAAGGAGTTTACTGGAATGACGGCCGGGGGTAATCTATGTTTGGGTTTTGTTGCAGAGGTATATGCAGCAGTTCAACCAAGTGGAGCTTTCTGCTCTTGGGATGGGTATAATACTCTCTCCCTTTTCATGGTGGTCATGGTGCTGTTTGTAATCTGATGTTTTCGCTGCAACTTAACCATCATTTGATTATGCAGCTATAGCCACTGTTGTTACTGTTGCCGAGATCTTGAAGAACAATGGATTTGCAGTCGAGAAGCGTAAGTTTCCCCGATCAACGGTTCCTTGGTTCATTTTCAGCTGTTCGAGATTCGAATTTTAAATGCTCCAACGTGTAGAAATTAACACGCAAGTTTTGCAGGAATCACAACTTCGACTATTGACATGAGGGAGGATGCTGCAGCTCGTCCGATTCCGAAACCAAAGGTAATTTCGAAACTTCCAGACCCGCTTCTCGAATGTTGTTTGAATGAATATGAATCAGCGTTGAACAGAACTTTAAAAAACCCATGTTAGATCTTCCTTCATTGTTGTTTAGTAGTTTTGGAGTGAATATGCCATTGCTAGAGGTCTTGCGATTGAAAACAGGAGCTGTAAATGCTCCTCCTATCATTTCTGTCAGAGGAGGGTTCTAATGAACACTATAGTACTACTTACCAATCTTTGTGGTACTAATCTTGGATGTAGCAAATAGCTAAAGCGGCTAACGGGTTTGCTTTGGCACCATTGTAGATTGAAATCATGCTGGGAAAGTCTGAGAAGTTTGATGAGTTGATTGCTGCTGTTAAAGAAGAAGAAGAAGAAGAGGAGAACTCAGCTTAGTCCAAATGGATCTGTTTTCCTTGGCTTCCTTGTGGATGAAGCTTCAACTTTGTGTCCTAGTTGCTAAGACAAAGTTAAATTCCTTGACGTAGTATTTTCTCTGGTAGAAACATTGGGCTAATGCTGTTGAATGTCGAAAATGGTAGCTATTCGAAACAACAATTTCTCTTTCCATTCCCTCGAACAAAAGTTAGTTAAAACAATGACCATGTGCTTGTTTTTCTAACCTTCCAAAAACGAAGGCTCACTGAACTAAAAGCCTGGAAACAAATCTTCCCAAGGTAAAAAGGACAAGAACAAAACTGCTTATGAGAATAAATGAAATCCAAATAAAAATGCTCTTTCAGCACTTTCTATGCTTCTTGGTCACCCTCCACAAGAATCCGCTTGCAAGCCTCGTAACACATGAACGATATCCCAGCAGCCGGGACAAGCTTCATGCAGCTTGGCCCTAACCCTTTGTACAGGCCCTTAACACCTTCTTTCTCAAGTATGCTTGCTAAGGCATGTAGCACGTCCCTGTACACTTGCCTCCCACTTAGGGCTCCTACCTGCATATGCTTGCGAGCCACCTCAAGTGGGAAAGTGGCACTGCTTGATATAGCACCAGCTGCTGATCCAATCAACAGGGTCTCAATGTTGCCAATCTTCTCTTGCTTTGCAAGCTTCCTGTATGCCTTCCGCAGTGAGTCGTAAGCAAAGTAATTCGTTGCGGCATAAGGAACAACTCCGATGAGGCTCGGAGCTAGGCCTCGGTAGAGCTCGCCGGGGCCTTCTTCGCTCATTATTTTCATGAATGCGTCTAATATGCCTTTGTATACACCTCTCTGCAAGCATAACATAATGAAACTCAAACCCTATTGAATAAATTACTGGCAAAGGGAAAATATATTTCAAGCCATGAACAAGTTTGTTGATACCTGTATGGTTAGTCGAGTCTTGACTAGCTCCAGAGGATAAGTACAGAGAGTTGAGGTCACTCCAGCGCATGCTCCGGCAACCAACGAGGCTGGAATTGGAAGCTTAGGCTGCTCTCCTGGTGCAGCGGATAGCTTCTTATTGACAGTGTCATATGCAAATAACTGTACCCACAGGAAGAAAATTAAATGCAATCGGTCTTACAAAGATACATTTAGCACAGTAGGGTGAAGTTGATTAAGAACTGAAAAGAGAATATCTTTGAAACATATGAATAACAAAGCTGCGATGCCTAGGGTTTGACATGAAGCAAAGCAATCACATGTATAACTTATTGTATGACTTCATCTCTTTAGTTGACAAGGGAGATACGATAATGATAGGGAAAGTTTAAGATAAACTGTCCTTGATAACAGTTTGTAATGGATGAGAGAAACGAAGAAACCTTTCTAATCTTCAGTAAGCTGGTTATATACAGAAAACAGTAATTCTGTCAGCTGGAGTGGCAAGAACAAACTACTTAAGTCCCACTTAACAGCTAAGAACAAACTTAGTCCAAGGCAGATGCTATCTAAGCTAACCAATGTTGGTTAAGTCCAGAGGCAATGCTAACAAAACATGAAGTTGAGAATCCGTTCAGACTAAATCCTGACATTGCGTACTTCCATCAACCCATAAAAGACTCCCTAGGGATTCTAATGACATGTTCAAGAAAGAGGCAATGAAGTCATGTAAGAGAAAACAACAGAAAGAGTACAGCACATGTACAAACAATCTCAGACCATGAATGCTGAACCATTTCAGCCAAACAGACAAACGACTGCATATGTGAACATAAGTTGATAGCTTGACATCAACCACACTGGTGATGAACAAGAACTAAACAACCAGTCAAAGAAAAGATAGAGCTGTCCTTGTATCCACAATAGCCTCTAATGAAAATCCATGAGCATTGCCAAATGGTTGGACACTGAGGCTTCTAATACATTGCCCTATCAGCTATATCCATCTGTATGCCATTAAATACGAATTGCCAAATCAGAAAACACTAAACGGAAGATCTAAACAGCATAACAATACTTACTTCAATCGCCTTGCTCGGCGCAACACGGATCACATTAACCAAGTTTCCCCTAAACAGACCAGTCCAGCCATCATGCTGCATTATATTCTGGAACACCTCACTGCTCGAATGCCCACTGCTCCCAACCATCAAATGCGTTCTTATAGTCTCCAAAGGAGCAACAGCGGTTCTAGATACAGCCCCAGCAATCCCACCACTGATCAACCTTCTCAAAGAAGGATTCCTCACCTTAATCTTCAATTGAAGCCATCCTTTCCTCTTCTTCTTCTTTCCCATCTCGCGTTCCTCCTCACCATTAACTCCCACAAATGACAAATACTTCTCATACAAATCATTGTAAACAGATTTTATACCTCCACCACCGTTCCCATTGGACCCCATCCCCATCTGATTGACGCTCGCGAAAAGGCCGCCGGCCCCACCGGGAAAGCACTGACCAACATCTTCCTCCTGGCTCCACGGAGAAGAACCCAACCCGGAGATTGAAAGAAAGCTGCCGCCTTTATCATCAAACAACTGAATCCCTCGCTTGCCCATCACTCAAAATCCCCCTGTCCCCTTATTAGTGATGACGGTCGTTGACCATATAAGTTAAAAGGCTTGTGTTACAGAATGTCCCAATCGAGCTCCCTGCCCCATGAGTTTCAATCAGAATAGGAGCGCTCGGCGGGGGAAAGAACACGTTTTGGCGAAATGGGGATGGAGGAGATTCATTGTTGAGTAATGGGTGCGGGAGAGAATTGAGAGAAAAGCAAGGATTTTTGGAGGTGGATTGAGGAAAGCTGAAAATCCAATCAATAGAATAAGACGGCGAAAAAGAGAGAGGAGGAAAGTGATGGGGGTTGTGAGGGTTAGGTGAACGGAGGAGGAATCTGGCGACTGGTATCTGCTGGCTGCGAATGGGGGATGGAGACAGAAACGCTATGAATTACGATGATGGCTTGTTAGGTGATTTAGGTTTCGCGGTTCCACTTGCCACTTAAACAAGTGAAGGGGAAGCTGGGAAGGGACAGTGGCTGTTCTTCTAGGACTCCTGTGACCTGAGTCCTGACCTGTGTGTGTTACACACTTACAGCTACTGTTACTTTGTTGAGTCACCCTGCTCATATTTGTCAAATTCAATCTGAAAGAATATTTGTTGGCTTTTCTTTTCTTGACCAAATCTGCAAATCATGATTTCTTTTGGGAACAAGAAAGGTGGGCCGGAATAACCATATACCAAAGCACAAACAGCATTCACAAGGATTAAAAAACCCTAACGTACCCGTGGTTCGACCAGAAAAACCTCCTGCCGGATGCTAGATAAGTTGGCAGTTTTAGCGGTATAATATGGTTAAACCATGATTAAACCACAGGTTTAGCATAAAATACCCTACGCTGACTTTTCCGGTACGACCTCCGATACGGTATTTCAATCCTTGTTCACAAATCACATGCCCAATAAGAAAACGTAAACATTAGACATGAGTAGCCTACTACCCTTAGCCCTTATGAGGGTGGATCTGGTCACTAAGGGGTGATTAGTCACTTGACTAAGCCCTTCCCAGCACTTAGATCTATACACATAAATCTGACGGTTAAAAAGTAGAAAGGACTTTTAATTTAATGACAGGGGTAGTTTGGGTATTATGGAAAATTACGAAGTATACAAACCGGACTTACAAAGAGTACAAACCATACGAACAATACAAACTAGAGTGACAAAACATACAAACATATTTACAAACAATACGAAACATACGAACTATACAAACAATACAAACTAGACCGACAAACATTACAAAACATACTGACAGTACAAAATACCACTACTTACAATACAAAACAGTAACTTGTATTACAAATCAATGAATACAAAGTATACAAATCACAACATAAAATATACAAACTAGACAAACAAACATTACAAATTACAATGTATACAAATTAGTCATATAAACATTACAAACATAATAGATAAAAATGACAAAATAGAATAATAAACGATAGAAACCATATTGATTATTAAATCCAAGGACGGCGGGTGCCCGCCGGAAAATCCTGGACGGCGGGAGGATGCCGGAAAATTCCGGTAGGTAGAGGCGGGGACATGCGACACTTTTTTAATTATTAATTATTAAAATATAAAATAGTCATGAACTATGAAATTACTACATTACCCTTTATTAAATTGAACTAATTGAAGTCATTAGATTTTAATGAGATTGAAGAGTTGAGATCAGTGGCGGACCCAGAATTGCCGGAGAGGTGTGTCGCCGATAAAATAATATAATAATTAAAAAAATTAATTAAAAAATTATTAAAAAATTAATAGAAATTAAATAGAAATTACTTGAAATTAATTCATAAAGTTCACAATGTCATGTTTACTAGAAATGTCTGTAAATACATTCATTGCTTATATTGCGAAGCAAATCCTTTTCGATATACACAACTAAACAATGATTCATTAAATTCGTCACTCAACCGATTTCGAAGTGCATTCTTGATTATCTTCATAGCTGAAATCTTTCGCAGCTTTCAATTGCAACAGGTAAAGTCAACACCAACTTCCAAAAGCAAGTAAAACTAAAGGGTAAAAGAAAAGGGAGATGTGGTAGTGGCTCTCGATAATTAGAAACTAAAACGGGGTAAGGGTGAGTTTTTTTATTTTCAATAAAGGAAGGGTCAAGGGATGGAAACGGTGAGTTTCAAAGGATGGGGTTATGTTTATTTTTTCCATTGTTGGGTTGTGGTAGGGATGACAACCAAACCCATGGTCGCGGGTACCCGACCTCCTCCGACCCAGTGAATACGGGAATCCCTACATTTACTGGGTATGGGGCGAGTATGGATAAAACCCCCAAAAAGGTTGATGGGTATGGGGCGGGTATGGTTTTTAACTCTCCAGCCCCATACCCAAACCCGCCCTACCAAGGATATTATGTTATATACATAAAAATATAAGGAGTGTATGGTAACTTGACAATCGAATGAAGAGTAATTAAAAGAAAAAATAAAGTGTTAAAATGTAATTGATGGCAACCAAACCTTAATTTCATCCTCTTATGTATTAGTTCCATAACTTTGGGTGGGTAGTATCCATATTTGTCACCATATTTGTCACCATATTCTATTATTAATGGTGAGTAGTTGTCGGGGCGGTATTACCCATGGGTATCAGAAAACCACAGGTATGGGGATGAGTTTGCAAGACCTTTCACTGCATGGGTATGAGACGGGCATGAGTTTGAATATTTGGAAATGGGGATGAGGTTGGTTTAGGCAAACCCGCACTATTGTCATCTCTAGGTTGTGGTGTTGGTTACTCTAAAACAAGCATACTTATTTGAATTAACTTATTATTGTGTATTACTCATTAAGATAAATAACTTTATAACCAGAAAATCATTCTCGTATAATGAAGGTGTGTCACTCACAATTATTTAAGGTGTGTCGGAAGTCCCGAATTAAAAAAATTTGTACCAAAAATATATAGGTCCTTCACAAAATTTTCGGGCGAGGGTGTGTCGGACGACACACCCTGCCCTTTACTAGGTCCGCCACTGGTTGAGATCGACTTAGACAAGTGACTAAGGGACTCCCCCTTAGTCACCTGATCTTAGTCCAACTCTTATCCATTGAGCTGGGTTTTTTTCCCCTAGAGATATTCCAGCAAGGTAAGAATACAAACAATATCTTCACAGATAAAATATGAATAAATTAGACCACAATAGTCGACAAAATTGATGAACCAACCATGAGAGGGCTTGTTTTGTCACGATATGAGCAACATTTTTATACATATGAGCACGGGCGGAAGCAGTGTGTAGGAAGGGGTTCCCGTGCACACCCTTGGATTGGAGAAAAAGGGTTAAAAATAGGTATAGTAGTTTGCTTGCATTGAAACTTGAACATAGAAGCTTATTCCTTATATTTAATTAGTATTTCTACCATCAAACTACATTAAGAACATACATTTAAATTATCTTCAATTATATAAATTATAACAAGTTTGTACATGAATAAAATAAATTTCATCTATGATTAACTCATCCTTTTAAATTTCTAATGTCTTAAATAAATGTTAACTCTAAATTTTGGTGACTCTTATCCTCCCACAACACCACTATTTGTCCAATATCTAACTCTCCACGGATGGAATGATTAAGAGAATCAGGAATCATTTGGTATGATATATTGAAAATAATATCTTTTTCATATATTTTAAAATTTATATATAGTGGAGAAACGTTGTGCCTCACTAGTTACTACCTATGATTAATAACTTCTCATATAAGATATATTTATTTTTAATTAAGAAAATTGCACCCCATTACATAAAATCCTAGCTACGCTACTGCATACGAGGCGCGAAAGGGAGCGAAGCTCTCTAAAGAGATTATCCCAACATCTTAACCTCTTTCAAAATGACATCTCCAAAAGCATACACCGAATCCCACGCATTAACCCTTCAAATGAGGACTTTTGAATCACCACAAAACAAAAGATTAGTTACAAGTTGCGATAAACACCAACGAATGATATCTCTAGTAGCCTTAAGTTTTTTATTTTATATTTATAAACTAGTAGCTAGCCATGAGTTCGATGAGAAGCAAATCAATAAGAGAACTGCGACGACAAGTAGTCAAGGAGGTCATGGCTTGCTCCATTAAGCCACCCAGACGTCAAACTAGCATATGAACGCATGAGGCAGAATGCGAGCCCCATCATAAATTGTAGCTCTTACCAATCTTCCAATAAAGAACACTAATCTCGCAACCATCAGCTTTGAAAGACCTAAAAAAAATCTAAGTGTTACAAGATCGGTCCATCATAGCATTCCTAATGACTAGTTTGCGCATCTATTTATTATATTTCTTATTAATTCCTATTTGGTTATTATTTGGAAATATTGACTTTTATTATTATTTTTATTAGGATTTGGATATATTCTTTAATATTTGTTTAGGATTTGGTTATTGTTTTCTTGTGAGATATTTTCATATTTCCAGGAAGAAAAAGGAAGAAAACGGGTGGCAACACGAAAGGAAAAGTAAGAATGTGTCAGGATTTTGTAGCCTATAAATATGTAATAATTTTCAAGCCTAATGCATTGAATATTGGAATCAAAATATTTTTCTGTTTCGTTCTTTTATTTTTCAATTTTCTTTGACATTTCTTCTGAGAGTTCCTGCTTTAATATTTTCTCTCGTGCGATTGCTAGAAACGTCATCCCCTACGACATATCCTCCTAACACCAAGTCATCCTCGAGCTATATACAATGAACTGATGGGAACAGATGCAGTTAAGATCAATTTAAGGTGCATTAATTAAGTAACAATTAGAATCTTCATAAACAACTTGACAAATATCATATCCAAACTACCTATATGCCATAGATTAGATTAACGATGTTGCTATGTAATTAGGATTTGTGACATGTGATTGTTTTCGTCACCCTTGGATATAAACAAACGGGAGGATACCTTAATTGACGGATGAGCATAAAGCTATATACCCACAAACTTTGAAGGCTGAGGAATATATGAACTTTAGTTACTACTTGGCATTGCGAACGTGGACCACACGATTATCTTAGTGGGTGGTTATTAACAACTAGTTTGGTGTCCGACCCGTTGGTTGGAATGTTTTTTGAATATAACGAAATTATGATGTGTATCTAAATTTTTCAAAATATTTGAAATGAAAATTTCGTATGACATTAAGGTGTCATCAAAATTATTTTTTCAATTTTGAAAGTCTTATAACTTTTCATCACTCGTAATGATTATAACCAAGGTTGTCAAACATGTATAAGTCGTTGGGCCGATCAGGCAAGTGGTTTGAAGTTTGGTTCGATTATGTCCAACTTTTTTACACCTTATCTATTACCATCCCCGCCTCGCCCTTCCAACAATATGGAAATTGGCTTTGTGACCATTTTGGAGCAGAATTTTCGTCGGACCTAGTCCAAGCGATCGGTCCGTAAAGGTTTAACAACCTTGGTTAAAACATTCGCAGAGAATCATTCACTTTTGCTTGAGAAACACTACATATATATCAATATCTAAACATTAAAGTATTCTACACAATACAATAACAAAATTAATAGGAAAATAGCATTCTCCAGCCATACTCTATGCAATGAAAAAATGTTTAGCAACCAACATACTCAAATTAGTTGAATGACAATCTCATTCACTCAACAACGAATTAAACCTATCTTCTGGTACCTACCCCTTGATAATCCACATGACACATCAATGCGTTCATGAAACCCAGCCCGACTTTCATGATTTGTCTTATACTGCAGTTATTTCATATTACACATGGGTCCAATCATGTCGTATTGTGAATTATCAAGAGACTTAGGATTTAACAATTAACCGAACTAAAACTTTCAAATAACTCATCACTTATAGTCTGCACCATAATATCGTTGCTTTATGTTAGTTCTAAAATTTAATACTAAGTTAAGAATTCTACATCACATCTACACACTATTGCAATTCAATATGCAATATTTGAATAAATTATACTTAGGTTGCTATTTTAACATCATCTTCCATTCATAATATAGACATAAATTAATTTTACCATTAAACTCAAATTCGAATAATCAAATTATGAAAATTTAAATATCAAACACCATGGGAAGTACTTATGAGAGAGTTTGTGGGCTAGCTAAAAATAGTGGAATAATCATATAATATTTAGATCTTAGGTTTAGTATTTTTTATTTTAAAAAGATACAAAACACTTCTTTAGTATAATTGGTAATAGTGGTTGTGTTCATCCGAAAAGACCAGGCTTCAAATCTCAATACTATTTTTTTATTCTTATGAATAAGGAATAAATAGTGATTGTGATGACAAATCTACCCTTCCTACTTTCACTCTCGTGGCCGGAAATTTGAACTGCTGAAAAACTGTCCCCAACTCTACTATAATATATTTATAGACGTTGTTAAAACTTCAACTAATACCATTATATACCAACGTTTAATACGTAGAAGCGTAATAAGATAAACTCTCGCACACATGATATATCATTCCTTCCCCTCCCACATTAACAAAAAAGTAACCACAAAGCCAATCGAGAGAGACGTGTACAAATTTACACAAACAAGTCTTTCTTCCTTTCTTCGCCTATAAATAGGGTAAAATACCTCGGATACCACTTATCTTTGCGAATTGGAGGAGCTATACCACTTATATTTAAATAGGGCGTCGGGTACCACTTTTATATTTAAAACGGGCATCCGTCCATTTTTCCATCCCATGGACTAACGGTGCTAATAAAAAAATAAATTTTCGCCACATCAGCACTGACTGTGGGACCCTATCTGCTGAGTCACGTTTGCTTTTTCGCTGCATATACTAATTCCAAAAAAAAAAGAGAAACGAAAGGACCCATCGAGACCAGCCTTATTCACCGAGAAAAGAGAAACCAGTTTCGTCTTTCTCACCCTCCAAATTAAGCGTCCAAAGAAGAACGAATCGGATTCGGTGAGCAAGTGGTCTGCACATGTGAGCTTTCTCAAGTACAGTTCTTTCTGACATCCTCTATTTTTATTTTATTTCATTTACTGCAGAATTTGATCGATATATATAAATGCGCTTTGTTATTTAGGGTTTGAAACGTGAAGGGAGTCGACTGCAATTTTGAGTCAGATGGCTCCAGTTCTGAGAAAAGTGGGGTTCATTTATGATACACTACCCATACATGGTAATGATTCAGACTTTTCATCTTTGTTTTCTTTTGTGTAGCGTGGTCAATGGTGTACTTGTGGTTGCTATAGTTGGCATTCACTTTAAATGGTTGATTGGTTTCTGAACTTTTTTGGCAGCAAGTGATGAAGTGTTTTGTACTTTTGTTCTTTTGCCTTTGTTTGAGTCGAATTACCTACAACATCTTGAAAGAAGCTTTTGTCACTTTAGTTTATATTTGTTGTTTACTTTTTGTGGTCCCTAATGCTTTATCTTTGTTCACGTTTTGGCATGTAGTTTATGGATTTCCATGCTAGCTAATGGATGTTTAATTGTTTAATGTGTTTGGTATAGGAATCTGTGAAGATCAATTCACTCTTGAAATGCATTATGATGGCCATATGGAAAACTCAGATAAAAATGGCCATTACGTGGGAGGGAAAGTACAATATTGGGATTATGTTGATCCTGATTGTTTGTCAATCCTAGAGTTAGATGGACTTCTTACTGATGTCGGATATTTGGTGCAAGTGAAGACTAAAGACATAGAAGAGTATAGAATCTTGAATGGTTATGCATACTACTACAAAGTGAATGGACAGAATATGAGGGAAGGGTTGGTGGAATTGAAGAGTGACCAAGAATTGTTGGCTATGGCTCAAGAAGTTGTTGAAGACAAAAAAGTTGTTGAGGTCTATCTTATCAAGAGAGTTGAGTTAGAAAGTGGTAGGAAAAGGGACTCAGATAGAGTTCCAATCCCACAAAATGAAGGTGGAAGTGAGTCTGATGGGGACAGTGGGTTTGTGGATGATGAAAATGAAGCCAGTGAGGATGACTTTGATATAAATGACTTCGAAGGTGGAGGGTACAACCAAAATCTCATCATTGATAATGTAATTGGTGAAGATGCCGACACCGATTGTGGTGATTCGGACTACTTGGGCAGTGTTCACTCGAGTGACGATGAAGGTAGTACTAGAAGAAGGTTCCAAGAATTTAATCCGGCAAGAGATATGGAAAATCCCCAATTCTTTTTAGGGCAGATTTTCAGTGACTTAAAGACATTCAGGGAGGCTATTAGATCTTACTCAATCAAGAACAAGTTCCCTTTGAGGTTTGTTCATAGTGACCGTGGGAGAGTTCAAGTATGTTGTGAGAAGAATTGCAAATGGAATATTTGGGTTTCACCTTCTCCGAATAGGAGGTCTGTGGAGGTCAAGTCGTACAATGGGGAACATAATGGGTGTGTGTTGGTGTCCCGACACAAATGGTTCACCTACAAGTACATTGCGAAGAAGTACTTATTGAGGTTCGAGATTGATCCTAAATGGGGTAATGATTCGATAGTGCAAACTTGTGAAGAAGACTTTCACTATACTACTTCCAGATGGACAGCAAGATGAGCACGGGAATATGCATTGGAGTTGATAAGAGGAAAGGCAGAAGATCAGTATGCAAGGCTTCGAGACTATTGTGCTGAGTTGTATCAAACCCATCCTGGTTCGAGCATATATGTGGATACAGAGGATCACATTTTTCGTAGAATGTATTGTTGTTTTGCTGCTTGCAAGAAAGGATTTGCAGCCGGTTGTAGGAAGATCATATTTCTTGATGGTTGCTTCTTGAAGACGCTTCATGGAGGTCAGTTGCTTTCCGCTGTTGGCATCGATGCTAACGATTGAATTTTTCCTATAGCATATGCCATGGTGGGGGTGGAGAATGAAGAAAACTGGAAATGGTTCCTGACTCATGTAATTAATGACATAAAAGTTCCAGAAGTTTGTGATAAGTGGACATTTATGTCTGATAAACAGAAGGTAATCACCTAATATTTATTAATTTGCTTTATTGTTGTACACTTGAAGTAATGATTACTAATTGTGTTTTCTTTTTCATTTTTGTTATAGGGTTTGGTTAATGCTTTAGCTGATCTAGTACCAAATGCGGAGCACCGATTCTGTGTACGACATCTGTGGTCAAATCTACAACGATCTCAAGGAGGTAACAAAACCACTAAAGACCTTTTATGGGATGTTGCTAGATCAACATATGAGGCTGAGTTTAAGAAGAATATGGATAAACTTAGGGAGTATAATGAAGGTGCTTCGAAGTGGTTGTTAGAAAAACCATTGTCTCAGTGGTGTCGAGCTTACTTTCTTCCACATTGCAAGACCGATGTGTTACCGAACAATCACTGTGAGTCTTGGAATAGGTGTATCTTAGGTGCTAGGGTGAAGCCAACCATTAGCATGTTCGAGACAATAAGATGCCAACTGATGATTAGGTTTCTTAAGAAAAAAGAATTTGCTGACAAAAACTTCAGTGGGCAATTTTGTCCAAAAATAATGAAGAAGATATATGCTGCTAAGCAGGCCAGCTTCGGTTGTAGAGCTCTACATAATGGTTCTAACACATTTCAAGTTCGGTGTCTAGAAGGACAAGTTGTTGTGGACTTGAACAAACGCACATGCACATGTAGGAAGTGGGATTTGACTGGAATTCCATGCTGTCATGCTGTTTGCTGCATATTTTCTAAGGGTGAGAAGGTCGAATCATACGTGGATAAATGCTATGAGGTTGCCACCTACATTAGTACTTATAACTACACACTGGAGTCTATGGTTGGACCAGAATCATGGAGAGAATCTAACCAAGACCCTGTGATACCCCCGTATGTGAGCACTGATGCGAAAACAAGAAGGGGCAGATGTAGGTTGAGTAGGAGAAAGGGAATAGAGGAGGTATTGGAGGAGCAGCAAAAGAGGCAAAGAAAGTATAAGCCTAGCAATACAAGAGCGAGCAAGAGTAGGGGGAAAATTCATTGTAGTCAATGTGGTTTAGAGGGCCACAACAAAAGGGCACATCGGAATGAGCAAGGAACTCAACAATTCACAGCTGGAAATGAACATTTTGGGGGTGGAAATGAAGAAAATGCGGCTGATGTGTGGTATTCTGGAGAAGCAACTGATAGGTATGTTACTCGACATTCAAATCTTGCTGAATTGGCTGCTCGTATTCTTACTCCACAACAAACATCTGGAGCTGGAAGTAATAACCATAAACCAAGTTCTACTGTAAGTTTGAGACTCTCTATTATTTTAGGCTTTGTAAGCTGTGAATCTTACAAAATCACTTTTATATTGGTGAGCTAACTTTGTAAATTCCTATTTTCAGGTTCATGGAAGGTGAAGGGAGAAAGTACCTCTGAACAAGAGAAAGTACCTCTGAACAAGTGCTGTAACTTTGAACAAGATCATTTACTGTAACTTTGTGTGGGTTACCTTTGCTTATTTTTGTGGAGGTTGTATGGTATGGTTGTTTAGTATTTTGTGGAACAAAATCATGCACTGTAACTTTGAACAACTACCAGGCAGTTTGGTTTAATCGATCATTTTAGGGAGCTTGTGATCAATAGTTTGCAGACACAGTATGTAAAAACGTTTAAGCTAGCATTTCCAGGTAGCTTTTGATCAATATTTTGGGAAGACAATATGTATCAATGTTTAAGCTAGCATTTCCAGGTAGCATTTCCAGCAGTAGTTGTTACATATTACACGTCATAAAGGCCATTCAAACTTAGTACAATACATTGCCCATGAGCTCCAAACACTACATTTTGTTCAGAATATAAGAAATCACAAAAAAACCCAACATTATGCATACAAACTTCATCCTTCCAACGAAAATGGTTGGGCGATCGTTCCTCCTCTCTAACGCAACAATCCGCCTGTGTAAACCGCGACTAACTTGCTTCATGGGTTCATCAAGAACTGGATCTACCCAACGAAAAAGTTACATGCACCCGAAGTCTATAAAAAGGAAACACACAAACTATTTAGCTATGGAAGATAAACGTTTCTTATACTTAGAAAAATATGCATACATTGATCTAAAATTACCCCATAATTTTTGCACCCGTAAAATCGACGCCCGGGATTGGTGTCGGTCCAAGAAGTGCGAAATACTGCCGCCTCACCACATTGACAAAATGGGGTTGTCATAGGCTTGGATAATATGAGGGAGAGAAGAACAAAAAGAAATGGAAAAGATGAATCAAATAAGTGTAAATACTCTTCAGAGATGCAGAAGTTGCTGAGTTTTCCTTCACAGGGATGAAGAATGGGAAGATAATAGAGAGATTCACTTTTATGGAGTTAAAGAGGGAAGGAATGGAATTGTGGCGCCACTTTTCCCTCCAAATGACCTAGCAATTATGGTGCCATTATAGATGGGTCCTTTTGTTCTTTTTATTAGTATATGCAGCGGGGAAAAAACCTGACTCAGCAGATGGGGTCCCACAGTCAATGCTGATGTGGCAAAAAAATATTTTTTTTATTAGCACCGTTAGTCCAGGGACGGAAAAATGGACGGATGCCCGTTTTAAATATAATAGTGGTACCCGACGCCCTATTCGAATATAAGTGGTATAGCTCCCCCAATTCGTAAAGATAAGTGGTATCCGAGGTATTTTACCCCCTATAAATACAAGCCACAAACAACAAGATATTGTTTCAAGAAACCCACCACCATTAATGCCTCCCTAATGAAACGTATATGAAACAAGTAACGTGTCGTTTCTTTCTTTCTTCACAGCCATCTCTCCATCTACAATGACACAATCCGTTAATGATATCATCGTAGACGTAGGAGCTGCAATAATCTTGTGTTTGGGTTGCGTAGTAATGGCCGACTTGGCCATGGTGGACTTCGGCACCGCCACCTCTTTCCACCTTCCTTATCTATGTGAGTGTACATGTTCATATATAATATCCTCTATCTTCGATTTTTAACTCCAATCGACGATTAATCCACGTCGAGTCATGACCGTTGTTGCAGTTAGTGTAGTAAAAATCGCATTTTAAAACTTGAAAGTTTACGATTTTATGCTTCTAGTTCACCAAAACGCTTTCATTTTCATATAAAAAATGTATTGTATAAAATTGAAATAAATTGCGCTTTAAAACTTTAAAGCTTACGCGCTTTTATGCTTCTCGTTCACTAAATGGGTATTTTTCATGAAATTAATTATAAAAAATATATTTTAAAGGTAAATCACCAAGAATATGATACAATTGTGATTAAGAGATACATACCAAGTACTTGGCTGCATACTCAGGAGTAATCTAATTCACCAGCTAGGCCCTTCCTAAATTCATTAGCATAGAGGGGAATGTGGCTTATTGTTAAGATCAATGTGTATGAACTTTTTGTTAAGATGTGATGAGTTACTCTACTTTAAAAATGAATTGCATGAATTTATTAACTTATCTAAACTCCGCGCGCTCATATTTTACATAGTATATGTCGTACTTAACAGATTTTTAGCCATTTTACAGTATGGGTAAAAAACTTACACGTGTGTACTTTGATTCTACGTTTTACGATTTTATTCCCTTTCCACTTCTAGGTAAAATCGTGCTTTTGACTGCGTTGGTTGCAGTGACGGCAGGAGGCAGGACTAGTTCCAGGCGGTGAACTGTTAGAAATAGAACGAGAAAATTAGGGTTACCGATCTGGCTGAGCCGCAGACTAGGTCGCTCTCTTTAAGACGTTTGCGACATTGCCTCGTTATACGCACAACAGACTATCAACCGATTGCCTCCAGGATAAAACAACCACTCTTATTTGTTGCTCGTCAGTTTTGTGCGAAAAACCAGAGCTCTTTGAATCTCACTATCTTTCATGTTTCTGCTCTTCGAATTGTATGTTTAGAGGGTCCGGGTAGTCCTCTATTTACAGAAGTAGAAAACCCAGAATTTCCCTCTTTCGTGGAGGATAAGTCACGTTTAATTAGGAAGATAATTACTCTCATAATTAAAACGCGTTCTGTTGAGATAATTAACCCGGATTATCTCCAGAATATTCCTTTTATTAATTATCCTTCTTATTTTCGTATCTAGAAAGAATACTGGATAATTAATTCAAACTAGCTTTCAAAGCTATTCATTCCCAACAATCCCCCACTTGAATAGTTTTGAAACTATCTCTGAGCATCAACAGATCCATAAGATCGGGCATAAGCTAAGGTATCGCGAAGATTTAAATCTTAGCGTAGTGGTTACACTTCTGATTTCATAAGGGTGACTCATAGTCTTGAACCCTATCTCAGACAGTGTAGCACACTGGATCTTTTCATTGAGTGATATTCTCTCATAGGCCGTGCGTTTATGGCCATGCACGTTATCCCGGTTTAGTGAACGCTCTAGCAACTTTGTGCCTCCAAAGTTCCATAGGGAGCGACACCACTCCCACATTCATATAGGTGAGTCTATCAGAAGTACCCCCAAAGTAATGTACTTCACTCCACATGGAATATAGATCTCATTAAGAGTTACAATTAACTCAACCTCCAAGGCTTTGGGATTCACGCTTCACTACGCATGAACTTTCTCAATATTACTCC